GCTGTATCTTTTTAAACAGAACCCAAATGTGACTTCAGCGCCTACGTTTGAGGACCTGTTATAATTCCACAACCTCATTTCCAACATACCTGAGAAGCTCAGATCAAGGCAGAGGTGTCAAAAACTTCTCAACAAAATCTCTACTCAAATAAAATATTTAAATGCAGTCTCCYAACCAAAGATGCAGACTCGTGAAAAATACTGCTCAGCTTGTCATGTGGTGCAACAGAATCAGGTCAGGTCGATGCCGCTTCGGCCTTCTGATGTTAGGAAAYTTTCCAGAGCACCACATTTGAGAAGTCATCGGGTGGGTGGGGCACTTGTTACACAAGGGTTTTTATTAAGTGGGGAATTCATTTGCACTTCTGCCAAACAAATACCAGCTGTCGTTACTTCCCCCCRTGTTTGTAAGAATGCTAGTTGGGACATTTAAAATGCTACAGCTTTGTGAAAACTGGCAAAGAGCTGAAAAAGAAAAGTGAGTCAGAGAGGCTGTAAAAACTGAGGAGAGTGATTTAAAAGGAATTGGAAAGTAAAAAAAATCAAGATAAAACAGCTTTTTTTTTCTTTGCACCATCTCCCTTTGCTTGGGAAAGAGAACTAAATGTGGAGCTTAAGCATCAAAGCACTACGTTGTTTTGGTGGAAAAAGAAGAATCCATTCAGTACAAGGGTAGAGCTGACTGATGCTTTATTAATATCACCAGTTCATCTGACCAGAAAGTGGAGTAAGGTCACATTTTTGTGAATCATCAGGGACAGTTTAAAGGAGACACATCATGCAAAATCCACAGTTTTAGCTGTTAAACACAGTTTGTTGTGGACGTGGAGTCGCTAAGAGGCAGAAAAGTTGAATTTAGTCTCTCCTAGTGCTGCAAAGATATCTTTATGTTCTGTTTGGGTCTGATTTTTCAGCCCGTTCAGTTCTCTATTTTATGATATTTTCTGAACTATTGCATCAAATTATCCGAGACGGAACTACAATTTCCTCATCTTAATTCTCCTCTGGCTCTGGGTCAGACTCTGGATCTAACATGTAAGGCTGGATGAACTAGTCTTCTCTTGTTGACATCTTTTAATTAAATTGTAAATAAAACGTCTCTTTACTGCTATAAAAAGTCCCCCCCCCCCACCAACCGAAGTGGACCGGTCTGGAAGCCGGAGGGGGGGCGGGGCTTGAAGTGACAGTATCAAATGTAAAGTTGGTAAAGTTTAAAGAAGAAGGAATTCAGACCAAAGCATTGTAATTCCACTTTATAAAGACCCAAACTGAATGATATAAATGTAAAAAGGAAGGATTTAAAAGCATCATGTGTCTACTTTAAGTCTAGATTTTTTAACAAGGTTCAACAGATTCAAAGATAAAAATTAAAAATATAAAAAAACAAAATAAACCTGACTCCAGCAACTTTCATTATTAGGCCATGAAGACTTATGAACAGCAAACTAGTTTAAGGAAAAAACATTATAAAATAGAATTTACTGCTTCAGTCAGGATATGAAACATTTCACTTTTTAAAGCTGCTGGTGTTGGAGCAGGACAGCTGGACTGGGTTCAGTCTAACTTTATTTGGCCTGGGTAAAGCCTGCTTCTTTCATACATATCWCACTCTTTTGTTATTTTTTTTGGCACGTTGGAGCTAACATGTTCATTTCTGTGATATATTTTGAAAGAGAAAACTTGTGATTTATTAATKAGAGAACGCAACCAGCTCCCAACTGGCACACAGGCTGCTTTTAACGTGGCGGAAGAGAGAAAACAAATCGCAACACAGATTCGCAAACAAACTGCTGGCACACATTGTCAAAAAAACACGCTGATTTCCACCCCATCGGCTGCTGGCAGGCACACACATACACACACCTGAGAAAATAAGTAATTATGAAAACCTTATTTAACATTCTCKTAAGTCTAATCACACTCATCTGAAACATGTTTTTAKTTTCAGACAAGGTAATCCTCTTGTMTAAATCAGATAATTCAAGGTTTTATTTGTGATGCTGAAAGGATTATTATTTTTTTGACCTAATGGTTCAAGTTCTGACTTTGTCCAGCAGYGCAAACACTCACAGAAATCCTTACAAATGTCACCTTTGACTTTGCATTTAATGCCGTGACAGCTTGTTTTTTTATTATTTTTCATTTTTTCATTTCACCATTTCAAATCAGATTTACTGAGTGTGTTTATGTCTTACCCTTAGGCTGCCTCTGTTCATGAAACACCACCAGATCCAGAGGGTTATTAAGGTCCTCTGCTACCTTCGCCACGTCGTGTCCCGTCAGTCGGTTTGCACTGTAGATCGCTTCGTCTTCCAAGTCTGTCCAATATATTCGATCCTGTATTTCAAAAAACAGTAAAGCAAATGAAATAAAATATTAAAAAAGCTCAAATAGGCCTCAAAGTTCAGGCAAAAAAAATAATAATACGATATTTAAAAACTGGTCTAATCTGCTTTTCTTAATATCAAGTGTTCTTTCGAATAAATCATAAATGTGAAAGTGGCTGCCAAGATAGGCAAACTGAAGATTTGCCTTTTTCCTCACAACTTGTAGTCTCCAATAGTCACAACCTTTGTCTTAATCAAAAGCAAAAAAAACAAAAACAAAAAAACAACGCTCCACAAATTAGATTTTTGTGGTCTGAATATTGGTTATTTCTAGCTTTATATTTTTATCAGGAAGTGGTAGGAGACATGAAAATACAGTGAACCAAACATGAACTTTGTGAATGTTTTGTTAGTTTTTTTT